CAAAATGAGCCATCTTACTGAATCGGTCTACCACCGTCAAGATGGCAGTGTGTCCGTTGGACGGTGGCAGACCAGTAACAAAGTCCAGAGAAATGTGAGACCAGGGGCGATGAGGGATAGGCAGAGGTCGTAGGAGACCAGCAGGAGCTTGGTGAGAAGACTTGTTTTGATTGCAAACAGGGCAGGCATTAACAAATTCCCTGGTGTCCTCTTTAAGTGTTGCCCACCAGAACCTTTGCTGGACTAGCTCCCATGTACGTTGGATCCCAGGATGGCAGGTGAGTCTGGAATTATGAGCCCACTGGATAACATCAGACCTCAACGTCTGCGGAACGAACAGGCGGTTCGGAGGACAGGCACTGGGTCCCGGCTGGTCCTGCTGGGCGGCCTTGACCCTCTCCTCCACCTCCCAGATGAGGGCGGCGACGAGCTGAGGAGTCGGAAGGATGGTGCCCAAGCCCCTGGGAATGCTACCTCCCTCTCCAAACTGACAAGAAAGAGCGTCAGCCTTAATGTTCCGAGAACCAGGGCGGTAGGAGAGGGAGAAATTAAATCGAGTGAAGAAAAGGGCCCATCTAGCCTGTCGGGAATTCAGTCTGCGGGCCGACCGGATGTACTCCAAATTCTTGTGGTCGGTCCACACCAGGAAAGGTTGACTGGTCCCCTCGAGCCAGTGACGCCACTCCTCCAGAGCCAACTTCACTGCTAGCAGCTCCCGGTTTCCCACATCATAATTTATTTCCGCTGGAGTCAAACGCCTTGAAAAGAAAGCACAGGGATGGAGTTTTTGGCTGTTCATTGCTCGCTGAGACAGGATGGCTCCCACCCCCATATCAGAAGCATCCACCTCCAAAACAAACTGTCTTACAGGATCGGGTACTCGGAGGATGGGGGCGGAGGTGAACCTGGCCTTAAGGTTCTGGAATGCCTCCTCAGCCGAGGAGGACCACTGGAACATAACCTTAGAGGAGGTCAGGGCTGTGAGAGGAGCGGCCAAGGTACTGTATCCACGAATGAACCTCCGGTAGAAGTTGGCGAACCCGAGGAACTGTTGTAGCAGCTTCCGGGATTCTGGAACCGACCAGGAAGTGACTGCATCAACCTTGGAAGGATCCATCTCAATGCTCCCCTGTCCCACGATGTATCCCAGAAAAGAGACAGAGGATGTGTGAAACTCGCACTTCTCCGTTTGAACAAACAGCGAGTTCTCGAGCAATCTCCTGAGAACCGCCTGGACGTTGTGCACGTGTTCTTTCAGCGTCTTGGAAAAGATCAGAATGTCATCCAAGTAAACAAACACGTGTCGGTCCAACATGTCTCGGAGCACGTCATTTACCAACGCCTGGAATACTGCAGGGGCGTTGGTAAGCCCAAAAGGCATGACTAGATACTCGTAGTGCCCCGAGGTGGTGTTGAAAGCGGTCTTCCACTCATCCCCCTCGCGAATACGTACCAAGTGGTACGCGTTACGCAAGTCCAGCTTGGTGAATATGGTTGCTCCCTGCAGCAACTCGAATGCAGAAGAGATAAGAGGCAGTGGGTATCGATTCTTGATCGTAATGTCATTAAGACCCCGAAATTCGATACAGGGCCTTAGGGTCTTGTCCTTCTTCTCCACAAAGAAGAACCCAGCGCCAGCAGGTGATGAGGACGGGCGAATAATCCCAGCCGCCAGAGAGTCATTGATATAAGTCTCCATGGAAACAGACAGCAGACAGGGAGTACAATCGACCCCTGGGAGGGCTGGTGCCAGGATACAGGTCGATGGCACAGTCGTAGGGCCGGTGTGGTGGTAAGGAAGTAGCCCTCGACTTGCTGAATACTTCCTTGAAGTTCAGATATTCCGGTGGAACCCCTGTAACATCTGGAACTTGGCTGGGGTTCACCGAACGCTGAGGCGCGGCAGCCTGTTTCAGGCAGATCAGAAGACAAGAAGGACTCCAACCCAAAATGGCTCCCGTCTCCCAGTCAATGTTAGGGTTGTGGCGGCGGAGCCATGGATAACCCAGGATCAGTGGAATATGTGGAGACCGGAGAACATGAAACTGAATAGTTCCGTGATGGTTCCCAGATAGGAGCATGTGAACGGGTACAGTCTGATGAGTCACTGTCCCCAGCAGGTGACCGTCTAAGGCGTTGGCTGGAACTGGGCGAGACAAAAGAACCCGGTCTATTCCCAACTGCAGCATAAGCTTCTCGTCCATAATATTCGCGTCCGAACCAGAGTCAATAAAACCTGCAAGAGCCTGAGAGCTATCCGGTAATAGCAACCTGGCGTTCTGGCTCAATGGTCTCTGAGCGGGAACAAATCCAGGGGTTTGGCTCACCAGTATGTTCCCCATTACTGCTGAGCCTTGCCTTTTACCGGGCAGTGAGAAACAAAATGGCCGGCCCGACCGCAGTAGAGACACAGGTTACGACGTCTGCGATGCTCACGTTCCTCCAAAGTGAGGTTGCATGGGCTCATCCCCCCCTGATTGCGGCTCTGGAGTGAGGTGAGGAGTCGCAGCCAAACTCAGACGTCGTGTCGCCCAGGCATGTTGAACTCCCTCCAATCGTCGCTCCCGTCTCCGTGTCTGGATGTGCCGATCCATGCGGGAAGTCAGTTCAATCAACCCATTCAGTGAATTGGGCAGATCAAACGACACCAGCTCGTCTTTAATGTAATCCGCCAAACCACGCAGATAGGCGTCACACTGGGCTGCAGAATTCCAGTTGCTGAGGTAGCCCCGGGTGCGAAACTCAATGGCATAATCCACCACAGATCCATTACCCTGGCTCAGGTTCAGTAGTCCTCCTGCAGCGTCTGGACCCACAGACACGGGTCCAAACCCATTCCGCTGTGCCCCACAGTCGGGCTTTCCCAGTCAAATGATTGACCATGAACGCCACACGAGCAGCTTCAGAAGCGAAAGTGTGTGGCTGCAGCGCAAACAAGATAGAACAGTTCGTAAGAAACGGGCTGCAGCCCCCCGGTTCCCCGGTGTAGCGCTCCGGAGTTCCCACCCGAGGCTCCGGGGTAAATCCCATCAGTGGTGATGCAGAAGCGGGTGTCGACGGCATAGGAAGAGGCGCTGCAGCGGCCACTCCTGTCACTAGCTGCTGCACATGCACATCATGCTGCACATGCACATCAGCTAACGGCTACTGCAGTAGCCGTTAGCTGCAGATAAATAGGTTAGCGTCTGGTCATGTGAAGAGTTAGCATGATGAGCCTCGGTGGCCAGGGCGGCTATCGAGGCTTCCTGCCTCTGGAGAGCGTCCTCAACTCTCTCGAAACGGTCTCTAGGTGAAGAGGAGGTCCATGTTCTGGCCAGATTGTTCTGTCACAACCTTAAGGAGAACCCAAATGCAGCACTCGAGAAACCAAAGAGAATTGGTAATAAACTTTATTGGAGATTCCACTGGATCTGAGGAATACCAACCGAGCAGTTTAACGCACCGGAGGACAGCGGGCAGAAGGTGAGTCAGGGACAGGCAGAGAGTCAGGGAGTAAGCGAGGCGGTCAGGGTAGATACAGGCAGGATCAGGGAACAGGCAGAGCAGGCAGATCGAGGACAGACAGGGTCGGAACCGGGTAGGCAATCTAGTATCAAACGCGGGAAAGACAAGCATGAGGCAAAGTACAATCTGGCAAAGAGTGTGTGTAAGGTGCGGGTTTAAATACTGGCAGAAGCTAATGGGTGCAGAAGAGAAAGAGAGTGAGCTAACGAGTGAGTGTGGAAAACAGGTGAGACAGGTGAATAGAAAACTACTGGTGAATGATGGAGCAGACTATGACAACAGGTTCAAGTGTTAGTGTACATATTCTTTGAGAAAGGTCGAGTTCCCATGGGGGGAGGGGTGCCAGAGGGAGACCAGGTGCATGATGCGGAACAAAATTGAACACCTCTCCAACGTGCCAGACGCCATCGAATGTGAGCATTTGCCCACTCAAGTCGGTTACGACGACGAACCGGAGTCAGGTCGAGACCCCGATGAGGACGACGAGCATGCAGATGAGCTTCCCTGAGACGGTTTCTGACAGTTTGTGCAGAAATTATTTGGTTATGCAAACCGATTGTTGCAGCAGCTGTCCGAGTGGCTGGTCTCAGACAATCTTGGAGGTGAACATGCTGGATGTGGAGGTCCTGGGCTGGTGTGGTTACACGTGGTCTGCGGTTGTGAGGCCGGTTGGATGTACTGCCAAATTCTCTGAAACGCCTTTGGAGACGGCTTATGGTAGAGAAATTAACATTCAATTCACGGGCAACACCTCTGGTGGACATTCCTGCTGTCAGCATGCCAATTGCACGCTCCCTCAAAACTTGCGACATTGTGCTGTGTGATAAAACTGAACATTTTAGAGTGGCCTTTTATTGTGGCCAGCCTAAGGCACACCTGTGCAATAATCATGCTGTCTAATCAGCATTTTGATATGCCACACCTGTGAGGTGGGATGGATTATCTCGGCAAAGGAGAAGTGCTCACTATCACAGATTTTTTCAGATTTGTGAACAATATTTGAGAGAAATGGTTATTTTGTGTATATAGAAAATGTTTTAGATCTTTGAGTTCATCTCATGAAAAATGGGAGCAAAAACAAAAGTGTTGCATTTATAATTTTGTTCGGTGTATGTGCATATGTGTAAATGTGTCTTTTGATTGTGTATGATATACATATTTTATAAATATTTGTATAGACCTACATATCTGTATAGCCTACTACTGTATAATTTTACATTCAGGATTGCTGGAAACGTCATTTCGATCTCTCTGTCTGTAAACACAAACTGAGTAAGATTGACATTAAAGTTGACTTTGACACACACTCACACACAACACAAACTTTTATGTTTTCTCGCTCCTGTGTTTTTCACAAAATAATTAAAAAGTAAACCATGATGGAGACATGTTTTTACCAATAATGGGACCTATAGCCTACCACCGACGAGTTGCTGCACTTAGCCTACTTCAAAGTTCTGCAAACACTCTGGGCGGGGGGGTTTCTAGAGGAAACTCAGACTGTATGTCTGCGGATTTAGATATATCAGTCTAACACACAAGGTAGACAAAGAGGCGTTATGTCTACTCGCCGCTTGTTGCACTCTGATATATGCCCTTCTACAACCTATTGGGATACAGGAAAATCAACATGCGTGTCGTGTCCTATAAAACCAGGTAGGCTATGTATTATTTTGAATAATATTATGTTCTATTCTATAGCCTACTGTAAGCTATTATATTGCTATTTTTACGACCAAGGATACCAAGTCACACCTAACTGTGGACATGATGACGACGGAGGACTACACGAAGTCGGCAACAAGCTGTGCAAAGAAAACACTTTTAATGATGGAAGCAGCGCATTTTGTCGACCCTGTGCTTCATGTCGATCCGAGTTTAAATCGAGTCGGTGTACGACAACTACTGACACCCAGTGCGAAGATCCAGGGTAAGAAGAGTTCGATAATGTAACCAAATTAGAATACACTGTACAGTCGATATGACTTTAAAAGGACTGCGGTCAAGCCAGCCGTCTTTCACTTTTGCGTGGTCAAACCAGCCGCCCCTGTATTTCGAGTGCGCGGTTAGTTACAGGTTTACGGTAATGCAATAAAACAACCCTGGGAAGCTGGACGTTTCGTATGTGCAGTTCCGGTGAGGATTTCAAAGTAAAGGATGGCATGTGGTTCATTTATATTATCTGCGATTGAGGAACAGGGTAATTTATGAGAATAATGTTAGGACTTATTGGTTCATACACTTGTTGCACAAATACTATGAACTACGTGTACTTCTTGAGAATGGCAAAAGTCCCTCCAGAGAACAAGAAGGAGCATTTGTCAACTTTAATGTGGTCTAAAAAACATTTCTTCCATAAGTAGTTTATGAAACTGCCATGTTTGTACTTAATGGTACTACTTGCAAAAATAATATGAACTACTTTTACTGTGTACTTTTTCAGTCATTTGAGTTTCCAAGTCCTCTCCAGAGAACAAGAATGAGCATTTTCGTCAACTTTAATGTGGTCTAAAAAACATTTATTCCATAAGTAGTTTATGAAACTGCCATGTTTGTACTTAGTACTTCTTAGACTACTTGCACAAATAATATGAACTACTTTTACTGTGTACTTTTTGAGTAATTTGAGTTTCAAAGTCCTCTCCAGAGAACAAGAATGAGCATTTGTGTCAAATTTAATGTGGGATAAAACACATTTCTTCCATGAGTAGTTTATGAAACTGCCATGTTTGTACTTAATACTTCTAGGACTACTTGCAAAAATAATATGAACTACTTTTACTGTGTACTTTTTGAGTAATTTGAGTTTCAAAGTCCTCTCCAGAGAACAAGAATGAGCATTTGTGTCAACTTTAAAGTGGTCTAAAAAACATTTCTTCCATAAGTAGTTTATGAAACTGCCATGTTTGTACTTAATACTTCTAGGACTACTTGCAAAAATAATATGAACTACTTTTACTGTGTACTTTTTGAGTAATTTGAGTTTCAAAGTCCTCTCCAGAGAACAAGAATGAGCATTTGTGTCAACTTTAATGTGGTCTAAAAAACATTTCTTCCATAAGTAGTTTATGAAACTGCCATGTTTGTACTTAATACTTCTAGGACTACTTGCACAAATAATATTATTACTACTTTTACTGTGTACTTTTTCAGTAATTTGAGTTTCAAAGTCCCCTCCAGAGAACAAGAATGAGCATTTGTGTCAACTTTAATGTGGTCTAAAAAACATTTCTTCCATAGACATATGACACTGCCATGTTCTTCTGCCCTAGTTGCAGAGAAAGCAATTCCAATTGCTTGCCCTGGCTTCCTGGAGTTGGTCCTGATTCATCCCCAGGCACTGCTCATGAAACCATCTTTCACAGGTGTCACACTGTATCTGTAAAATGAAATGAGTGACCATCAAATCTGATACATCTTGTCATCGGAAATGATGAAGTAATGAAGTGCAATAGAGAATAATTTTGGCAAAATTAGATTCATGTCAACTTTATTACATGTAGCTATAGTCTGTAGCATACTCACCTCAAACACCAATAATATCTGAAAATAACTATATTATGTCTACATTTTCAGTTTTTCAAATAAAAATGTTTTTTAGGTAGTTATAGGTAGAAGATTTATAGTTCTGGGAAAACCCCATGTTGCATCACTATAATGTAGTTACCTTTTGGTATTCTTAATTGGTCAGTTATGTATTGCATACGAGCTGCTTCTCCCTGCTTCCCATATTTTGATAGTGACTTACAGGAGGATGTTGGTGTGTGAAAGAGGACAACAGCAGATAACACACACAAACCTCTTTCCAAGTGGTCCGTTTTACATTAGTAGTGTTGCCTCAAGGTATAACTTGGTTTCCAGGCCTGATCTGGTGGACATGTACCGTCAGTCTCCCAGCGGCGTAGAGTGAGGTGGAGGAACCGCGGGGTGCGCTAATTCAGTGCCCCATATTGCTATTTTCCAAGCTAATGTAGCTTTGTCATATTTGTCAACGCTGCATTGAGGCTATTGTCAACATGTGGGTGGACTTAGACCCCATCCTGGGGTGAAGTTACACTTTAATTTAATATGTTGCTATTAGACATGATTAGAATTGTCAGTATCCCTATTCCACTACTCATCACATTTTATATTCTCTCTGTTCATTATATGTGTAAACAATGTATATACATTACCATTTATCTGAGAGAAGTTGTCTTGACTGTTTTGTTAGTAAATCAATTTATATCGGTTCCACAGTCATTTTGAATAGAGTTAATGTGTGTGGGTTGCAGCTGGGGTGACGCACGAGGTTGCCGTAAAAAAATTATTCGGCATACGCCGAAAAGTAGAAATCGAAGCATGGCCCTGCAGCGTTTTCGCTGGACTGCCTGATCTGGATAGACCCAGTGACTCAACAGTTTTGTAAATACATCTAATATCATAAATTGAATTTGATTAGAATATGATGAAGCCCTATTATAACTACACTACGACAAATACTCACCCAATAGTGGGAGGCCCAGATCCTGGGGGCTTTGAGGCAGAGCACATTGCACAGTTGTTCTCCATGTGAAACACTGCAGGAAAAGAAAATATGTTGTTTAGACATACTGTATATGTATACAGTTAACAGTTGATTGGCAGCAGAAGTGCAGTCAAATTCTATGCAGCTGTTCAGCTGTAAATTATAGCTTATGAACTCTAAATGGATCATGAATGGGATCATTAACACAGGTTTAATATGTTTTTAAGTTTTCGTAGGAATATGATGCCTTATTTTATTAAAAACAAATCATGGTGTTTGAATTTGTATATTAAATTACAAAATAGAAAACCCAAAGTACTATAACACAGCCTCGCCTACTGATTTCAAATGTGTGCTCTAAAATGATATTTATAAATGACTATTATCATTATTATAAGCAAGACAATAAATGGCAAAGATATGTAGAAAATAAACGTATTTCAGATACGTTCATAAGAAACGTAACGTGGGAGAAAATATGTTGCTAGAAGATATGTAGAAAATAAACGTATTTGAGATACGTTCATAGGCAAGGCAAGGCAAGTTTATTTATATAGCACTTTTCAACACAAGGCAATTCAAAGTGCTTTACAAAAATGAAAGACATTAAGAAAATGGCATTTAAAATCAGTCATTAAAAGAAAAGCTAATACAATAAACATTAAAAGAAAAAATACATGAATAAAAGTTACAGTGCAGTCTAAGATATGAATAGTTCAATTAAAAGCAGCGACAAAAAGAAAAGTCTTCAGCCTGGATTTAAAAGTAGTCAGAGTTGCAGCGGACCTGCAGGTTTCTGGGAGTTTGTTCCAGATATTTGGAGCATAATAACTGAACGCTGCTTTACCATGTTTAGTTCTGACTCTGGGGACAGAAAGCTGAAGATATTCATAAGAAACGTAACGTGGGAGAAAATGTGTTTCTAGAAGATATTTAGAAAATAAACGTATTTGAGATACGTTCATAACAAACGTAACGTGGGAGAAAATAAGTTTCTAGCTAAACGTAATTGAGAATGCAGTTTAGTTCTGTGGGAACGTACTTTTTAGGAGACAGTCAAACATGGTGGTGGAAATAATACATTCTCGTAATCCATTGGATTACTGAAAAAATGACAGTAAAAGTAGTTCATATTATTTTTGCAAGTAGTCCTAGAAGTATTAAGTACAAACATGGCAGTTTCATAAACTACTTATGTAAGAAATGTGTTGTATCCCACATTAAAGTTGACACAAATGCTCATTCTTGTTCTCTGGAGAGGACTTTGAAACTCAAATTACTCAAAAAGTACACAGTAAAAGTAGTTCATATTATTTTTGCAAGTAGTCCTAGAAGTATTAAGTACAAACCTGGCAGGTTCATAAACTACTTATGGAAGAAATGTTTTTAGACCACATTAAAGTTGACACAAATGCTCATTCTTGTTCTCTGGAGAGGACTTTGAAACTCAAATTACTCAAAAAGTACACAGTAAAAGTAGTTCATATTATTTTTGCAAGTAGTCCTAGAAGTACTAAGTACAAACATGGCAGTTTCATAAACTACTTATGGAAGAAATGTGTTTTATCCCACATTAAAGTTGACACAAATGCTCATTCTTGTTCTCTGGAGAGGACTTTGAAACTCAAATTACTCAAAAAGTACACAGTAAAAGTAGTTCATATTATTTGTGCAAGTAGTCCAAGAAGTACTAAGTACAAACATGGCAGACTCATAAACTACTTATGGAAGAAATGTTTTTTAGACCACATTAAAGTTGACGAAAATGCTCATTCTTGTTCTCTGGAGAGGACTTTTGCCATTCTCAAAAAGTACACAGTAAAAGTAGTTCATATTATTTGTGCAACAAGTTTATGAAGCAATAAATCCTAACATTATTCTCATAAATTACCCTGTTCCTCAATCGCAAATAATATAAATGAACCACATGCCATCCTTTACTTTGAAATCCTCACCGGAAGTGTTCCTCGGTGGGATTTTCTGTAGCTTTAAAGTGGTCGAATATATAATACTGCACATACGAAACGTCCAGCTTTCCAGGGTTGTTTTATTGCATTACCGTAAACCTGTAACTAATCGCGCACTCGAAATACAGGGGCGGCTGGTTTGACCACGCAAAAGTGAAAGACGGCTGGCTTGACCGCAGTTTAAAAGGGACAAATGACATTTCCTTTGTGCTCGAGCCTACTCCAGCAACTACGAACTGTTAGACACATCACGCACCAACAAAATGATACGTTTACCTACCACGTAGTGGGACACATCATACCATTAAAGACCGCGTTGTGTTTTCACGAGAAATAGCCTAAAAAAACAGTATTTAAAGAAAAAAAAAATTTGACAGAGATGGGAGAAGCAGGTGTGGTTCTAGGGGGGCAACCAGGGACCCCCCCTGTGGCCCCCATCCAAAAAATAGGTTACAATATTACGATTTATTGGAACTAAATCAAATCAGAGACCCGGATTTACAGTGGAGATTAAACTGTTCATTACCTTATAAAAGCAAATACTGTTTTTTTATGAAATTGTCACTCAAAGTTACTAAAACAAATATTCTAAACGAAAACAACTACTGAAACAAAGGACTGTAACTTAAATTTACCAAAACAAATACCTTTACAAAAACAAATACCAATTACTGTATTTTATGTTTATTTTTACAAAATTACTTTATATACTGTCTTTGTCTTTTTAACCCACTTTTATTGTGCCCCTCTCATGAAATAACTGGCCCCCCCCAGTAAAATTGGTCTAGAACCGCAACTGAGAAGTATACTCAGATCTTGTACTTAAGTTAAAGTAGAAGTACAGATTGTAGGAATACTCTGTTAAAAGTCCTATATTCAAAATGTTACTCGAGTAAAAGTACAAAAGTATTAGCATCAAAATATACATAAAGTAGGAGGGAGGCTGTGGCTCAGTGGAATAGTGTGCTGAACTTAGTGCGCTGAACTTTGAATCAGGGGATAGCAAGTTTGAGTCAGCATGTCGTTGTGTCCCTGGGCAAGACACTTCACCCCAAATTGCTCCTGTGGGGATTGTCCACAGTAAAGAATGTATGTAAGTCTCATTGGATAAAAGCGTCTAACAAGTGACATGTAATGTAATTTAATGTAAAGTACCCAAAGTAAAAGTACTCCTTCTGCAAATTGGTCCATTTCAGAATAATATACGTATATGATATGCTTTGATTATAATTATTGATGAATTAAAGTGTTATCAAAGCTGGTAAAGGTGCAGCTAGTTTGAATTAGTTGATTGTATTTCACATCATTAATCCAAATCTGTAAAGTAACTAAAGGTATTAGATAAGTAAAAGTACACTATTTACCTCTGAATTGTAGTGGAGTACAGGTACAAAGTATAGCATAACATGTAAATACTTAAAGGGGACCTATCATGCAAAATGCACTTTTGTACGTCTTTTATACATGAATATATGTCCCCGGTGTTCCAGGGAACTCACCAAGTGTCAGAAAACACAACCCTCTCTATTTTCCTCCATACCCAAATCTCTAAAAAAGGGGCTGCAACGGATCTGATACAGACTGATCCAGATTTGAACACTGTCCTGACGTCAGGACGGTGGTGCTACGGCTATTGGTCAATTCTCCACCTATCAGGGGAATGAGAGGTTGGGCCACGGCCGGCCATTGCTGCTTGAAAGCGCTGGAGACGCTGTAGTACATATGCCAAGCCTGTAAGTGGCGCTGTAGTCTGCCACAAAAGCAGCGAAGAAGACTTCCCTTGCATGGTTGCCATGGTTGCCCTTCTGTTTATTCTCCGCTGTGGCTCTTTTTCTCCCTCCCCGAGGCAAGCGTTTGCGCCTCCTGCTTTAAAACAAATGAATAATGACTCTATATAATCATATGTAAGGGATAATGTGCAGCAACGCGGTCATTATGGGGAAAAGAACACCGACAGGCTGATCAGGAGCCCGACGCGAAGCGGAAGGATCTAGATTGGCATGAAGGTGTTATTTTCCCCATAATGACCAAGTCGCTGCACATTATCCCGCTTATTACATGGCCACATTCTCAACAAAGTAACGTCATGACTCCCAATATTAATTGAAATGCTTTTATGGATTTAGAAAATGATTTTATTGATTTAAAAAATAGTCCGTTGTTACTGTTTGAACTAACGTAGCAACGGCAGGAACTGCTTCGATAGTGTTTTTGAGGAGCATTTTGATTACAGATTTGAAAACATCGTTGCTTGCTTTAAAAGTAGCACAATTCATTATGTCAAACCTTGGAAAGTATCTAGATATCCCTGCCCTAATGCCAAAGTAACTGCCAACTCCCCTCTCCTGCAGGGAGGCGTGGTCAGTTGAAGCTCACAGAATCAGCCCCCTGCAAAAACAGGGCTGGAAAGAGCCAATAGAGCGAAATGAGGCATGGCTAAAATGCAGGATCTGTTTATATACTTTATATAGGTATGGCCCTACAATATATGTTTCAAATATAGCATAATAGGTTCACTTTAAGTTGAGTACAAGTTTCTCAAAATTGTACTCAAGTACAGTACTTGAGTAGATGTACTTAGTTACTTTACACCACTGTTCTATTGCTTTTTTTTATTTCTCTAGAAGCGGAACGACCGGAGTTCCTGGCACAGTAAGTAAACTCTCTGTAAGCATTAGTATTGGTATTACTAATGACGTTATTAATTATACGAAGTTATTCTGTCAAAGTCTGTCTTGCACATGCTTATGACAACAATATGTTAAAAACAAACAGATTTGGGGGTAATATAAAATATATTCAACTCAAATACAAATTTGTATTGCTTTTTCAATCTGCACAAGTCATTGTATGGTTGATAAGCATAGGCGGATTTTGCAAGTGGGGGGGGCAGGGGGGGCATTGCCCCCCCCTGGTAGCTGAAATATGTTACAGCATTACTACGTCGAAAACTGTTCCAATACAAATATTTCGTATGTCAATATTTATTAAGGTAGGACACTGGTTAATAATATTGTAGCGTGTTCACTGTTCAAGTAACCAAGGGATATAGTAGTTATCAAATAAGTATAAGATGTGCACAGTTTTACAGTTATGTAATGCACTGTTGTTGGGGGGAGAGACCGCCCCTTCCATGAGTGTGTGTGTGTACGGCGGGCATGGAAAAGTCCCCTCCCCTCACACACACACACACACGCTTCAAATCAAGTTGCATAAATACTTGAGCTACGTTTTTATTATAATTACTGTGAAATGTATTATGTTTTTGTCATTGTTACAACAAATACACACTTGCAACTGATAACACTGGCAATGATTTTATATTTATCAGACTATTCAAAACAAATCATGCTTAAAAAAAGTAGGGGCTCCACATAAGTGGGGGACGGCGATCCCCCGCGTCCATCGACCACTACACCACTGCGTAGCACCCCACGCAATAGTTGGGACTGTGTATTGACGTCAGTAAAAAAGGTTTGCCCCCCCAAGCGCAAATGTCAAACTCCGCCTATGGATATAAGGATAATTCACCAACAGAGGTTCTTACACTCAAATATATATTTGGTAAGATCTGTCATGTAATCATCTTTAAATGTGTTGGATAATAAGCACACATACAGAACGTACGTTTAATTTATATAAAAATGTGGTTTGTCTAGACCAAATAGTCTCTAAGGTAATTGAGAGAAATGCAAAAACGTGTTGCAACCAGTCTGCCCTACTTGTGCGGATTGTAATGAAAGCAGCCAAATACTTAGTCATTTGTGTCAGGAAATTACCTCTCTTATTAGAATATTTCAGGTACTTTACAAAAAAAGAATTCCAAATTCCTTATGCTTTTTAAAAAAAAATATAAGCTTACAAGAATAGCAAAGCCATTAAATGTTCCTTTAAAGTAAATTGTGTGTATAGTTGATAGTAACATGGTTTCGGGTGTGATTTTATCTTTAGTCTGGGTTAGAGATGACTTCACCCAAACATGTTACTGTTTCATTTCAGACTCAGAAAAACGAAGGAGGTACTTTCCCACCCAGTCCCGGCGCACCGATGTGTAAGCAAGCCCACTCTTGATTATGTAGCAAGACACATTTTATTTGTTTCTCTAAAAAAAAATGGTTTCTATTTCTGTAGGGGCCGTACCGTTAGTCATCCTAATTTCCATCACACTTGTTGTGATCTGCGCTTGTCTTATCTTCAGGAAGCGGAAAAGAGGTGTGCATATTGAGAGATAATGTTTGAAAAAGATATATAAGCATTCAAGTGGAAATCAAGTTCCTCAGTTGTAGTCAATTGAGGGTCTGGGAAAACACCAACATCCGTCAAGCAAATATTGTTTTGATCCCCCCACAATGTTTTCATCTTGTGGTGGTTCTGGCTTTGATCATAACTGTTTATTTCATGCTTGTGTTTAACACAGGACAGCAGACAGTGTTGAGTTACAGCAGAAGATCTTCCTTCGTCAATGCAGGGTTCGCGCCCCTGTCTGCTCCAACTGGTAACAATGATCAGGAGGGCCTCCTCAGTGAGTGGAAATTACAATTTGAATCTGTCTGTGACATTCATAAGATCAAGGGTTATCAGTAATGTGTACATAATAATGAGTACATCATTATCTGCTGGAAGAGTATCGATGAGTATGGCCCACTGAAGAGCAGATAGTTGTAGATATTTTTCTTAAGTAAAAGTAGCAAAACTACATTTAAAAATATATAAAAAAGTTTAGGTCCTGCACTCAAAAGCTTGATTAGGTAAATTATAAGCATTGGCATAAGAATATACTTAAAGTATCTGTGAGGGAAACTTCTGAAGCAATTGGAAACCGGACTCAGAGAGACACAGGGAGAGATGGAGCTTTGATGGCAAACACTGATGGTTTATTTATTATTTACACAGCCTATAAAGGTTCTGGTCATTTTAATTACTATGTGTACTGCTATTGCATATCTTAACCTATAATATCAAAGTTCATTTCACTATCTTTTGTATGTGGTAATAATCTGTAAATTAAAGTAATTAAAGCTGTCGGGTGAATGTAGTGGAGTAAAAGGTACAATATTGGCAGTAGTAGATGTAAAGTAGCATAACATGGATATACTTTTCTAAAGTAAAAGTACCTCAAAATTTGACTTAAGTACAGTACTTGAGTAATTACACCCCATCATTTTCCTGTTCAGGTCCCAACGTCCTGTCAGCACCTTTACAAACCGTGCTGGACAACCTGGATGTTTTGGAAGAGCTGGTGATATTGCTGGATCCAGAGAGCCATGGAGTTAAAACCACCAAACATCTGGCGTCTCACTGCTCCTTCCCCGCCACCTGGATCACTTACACCTACTCCATGAAGGAGAGCAAGAGCCCGCTGAAAGCCGTGGTGGAGGGGGTCACCTGCAGGCATCCCGACTGGACAGTGGGGCACCTGGCTAAGCTGCTCGGACATATGAAGCGCTACGATGCCATCGCTGTTCTCGCCAAACTTGAACTGAACGTGATAGAGATGTAACATTCCTTCCACCATAGTACTAGGAGCAGTGGGTAGCTGTTGTAATTGTATTGAGCAATTAGGAGTGTCCGGTGCTTTGCTCAAGGGCACCACGGCAGGGCCCAGGAGGTGAACTGGGACCTCTCCAAGTACCAGTCTACACTCCATATTTTAAGTCTTTACGGGACTTGAACCAGCGACCCTATGGCTCAGTCTAAGCCGGACAGTTATGACTCCAGAGTTTGGGCTTTCTGCGATCATTACTGACACAACTCCAACATGTAATCCAATCTGAGGTTGGTCTGAGTAAGCATACTCAGACCAACCTATCCTGTTATGTCTTTCAATATTTTTTTTCGGGTAAAAAATATGAATTTATTTTCAAAATACCAACATTTCTTCTTGTAAAAGACTTAATTCACGAAACGTCAGACTCTTTGTTTTTTATTCTAACAGTGGCCTTTATACATTCTGAAAACAGTGTATTGCTTTTCATCATTCTTTTTTCTACTTTAACCTTTTCAAATAAAAAAATAGAAATGTATTCAAACATCTTAACATCTTTATTAAGCAAATAACATTATAAATAAAAAAGTGCATAGAAAAATTAAACAGGTTTAGAAATATGTATACAAATATTTACAAACCCAGGGTTTATTTGTACATGGTAACAAAGACGTACATTTAAAGATCACATATTTTCTTATTTTTTATGTCTTTTACACTTACTTTAAAATAACCCTACTATATATATATATCTATATATATTTTTATATATGTGTGTATATATAACATACAGCTTTCTTAACAGATTCTGGGAGAGATGGTCATGATAACTTCAGGTTTTGACTAGTGCTTCCATCCTTCATTGCAAACTCACACACAGTGACAAACATAGGCACCTACAGACACACTGACTCACACTGACTCACACTGACTCACCAGCTCTGCCAGACATTAAAACCATGATACTCTTTAAATTACCATCCTCTCTTTTTGCATCAGTATTCCCAAACATCTGTCTAAACAGCTGAGGTAGAATCCTTGCAAGGAGTTGGGAGTGACTCTGCTCTTGTTGTCAGCTAGGTGATTGACACAAGGTAATCTGGGCTCCATCCCAGTGATTGGACATGCAAGAAGGAAAGGGGATTAAGATCAAGACAAAACGTAATTAGGGGGAACAAAGATGATCATTGGCATGGGGAGGGAAACAGTGCTCACTTTACTCCTGTGGATGATTCTAAGACCGTCAGTAATTTACCGTAAGAAAAAAATAAAAATATAAATGATTCTTTAAAAATACCTGCTTAATAGAACAACTTCTGTCAATAAAGGCTTGAATGCATGACACAACTGCCCCAAATGAAAATTCAAGTAAATTAGTAAAAGGACATCAGTTGTAAACAAACAAGAGATAGGGGGAGATCTCCTCATACACTAGACCGCCACCATTTATACAAAGCACAACCTTTTACCATTAAAAAAGAAATCAGAACATGAATAAATATCACTACCAATTAGAACAGTGTGTGAATTACAAAAGCCTCATCAATGACGGCACTGAACACCGGCTAAAAACAACATTGAACATTATTTTAAGGTGCCGAGCACACTCTCAACTCCATCTCAGACTCAGTGTTTTCTGGATGGAGCAGGAGCCGAACACACACTCAGTGGCGATGCAAAGAGATCAACTAGCAGGTTTTTCAAAGACGAAGATCATTTGTATGTTTGATGGTTATTTATGTGCAACTGTAGGGCAGCACATCTTATTGCAATAAGTAATGAGCATATGCCATGAGACACATCAAATATATATATTTAAAACTATTATTCACCACAACTCTTAACTTTTGGCTTGGGTAGTGTTTGCTACATACACTGTACAGCGGAAGAAAAAACACGCCTTGAAGACATGTCTCTGCCTTTATAAATATGACACTGAGTGAAACCGTTATATCTATTTTAGAAATCTACACAGGAAGAGAGTAGGTGATGCGTGGCACACCAATGATCCGAAGTGTGAAACTTAGCAGCCACTAAACTCTAATGACAATAAGAGTGCTGCTTGAGTGCATCAATTTAGGATAAATGGTGAATAAACAGCTAAACAATTCCTGATTTGCAGGACATCTTCGTCCAACTAGAGACATAAAAGACCCATCAAAACGTAGCACCATGGTTGTTTTGTTATTCACTGGAAAACAAAAAGAGTCTTAAAAGAAAAGAAGTCATTAACAACGTGAGAAGTGTTAAATGTAAGATAAAACACACGAAGGATTGAGTGACTGTATGGCTCAAAAACTGACTTCACCACGGATGAAGCTATAATGTTACCATCACTGGAGGATGGAGCAATCGTGATTACAAGTGTACTATAGACAGACATAACCACCCCCCCCCCAAAAAGAAAATATAATAAAACATATAGTGAATCTCTCAAAGTCTACCTATAGGTTTTCAGCAATGATTCAAACAGATAAGGCTTGACGTGTGTATCGCAGAAGTTCTGTTGGTGTACTGATCCAGGAACCTCCTACACTTCAACATCTGGTTCAACGTCCTGTTCACATGAACACCAAAACCACTTCCTCAACAATATTTACTGCTGTGGTTAAGACGTTGATGGGTAAGTTTTTCATCTGAACTCTTTCACGGGGAAAAAGAAGAGACATGACTCATATAAACGTTCTGTGCAGGTTAATCTCTTCTTCTTCTATAATCAATAAAAATGTCCACAAATGACTTCTGACCAGCCAAATATTCTCTTCTGGTCCAATAGTGGCTTATTCCCCTTTCCAAGGTGCCCTACCCCCCTCCCCCAAAACCCAATCCACCTTAATTTAAGGCTAGCTAGTAAACAGGATCCTCCCATTTTCACACGAGGGGTGTCTCAGTTGAGGTACCGGCGACATCTCCGGGCCCCGCAGTTGCAGTTGAGTTTGCTGCTGGCGTCTTCGATGGGGAACTTGTAGTCATAGGTGAGCTCCTCCCCCCTGTAGATCTTCCGAAGAGCAAAGATGACAATATGCTTGCGGCCTTCCACGTTGATCACTCGAGAGTAGCAGTTGGGTTCGCACGAGTGGTTGATGAACCTCGCTGCGTTGCCGTGCATGGTAGCATCCACCACATCAAAGTCGTCAATGCGGAACATATAACAGCCAATACCCTGCGAAGGCAAAAAAAAGGAAGCCTTTTGATACATCCGCTGACCTTCTGAAACTTTAACCTTCAATTATAGTAAAGTACATTGGAATGAAACCGATCAAAGGAAGAGAAACCCGACTGACCTTGCCATCGTAGTACTTCTCCCTTTTGTCCGTGAGCACTGAGCGGATGACGATGCCGGCATATTCGATGACCATCTCCCCTGCTTCAATGTTCCTCTTGCAGAAAAGACCACGGCCATGGATAGCAGACCTGCAACAGAAGGAAAAAAGTCCAGAATGGTCAGACATGATGAGACTGTCGAGGTGCAGATACAACACGGTTTCTGGACCCACATTTCCCCCTCTGATTTTTAGATTTTAAAATGGGTTAGATACGATAATTGAGAATAAACGAGTCATTAAAGACAAATAAGGGATAACACTATCCGGCTTATCAATATCATTAAGTGTTTTTGTAAGTGTTGTTGATAATGTTGAAAGATTGTTATTCAGGTCCGAACTGCGGTGATGACTAGCAGATCTGTACTCCTTTTTGCTCAAAGGACCACTGTGTCTTAGAGCCAGACTGGATCACAGTAAGGGATGTTTTCTTTGTCCTGTTTCTGAGCTTTAGAGCTTTAAGCCAGTCGGCTTTTGTTTGAACTGTTGCTTCCTGTTGATTTCATCTGCTTTAAAACAGCAAATAGTTTGCACATCTGAGCAACAGCTTGGAGCCATTACATTCTGCAGTTACTTTAGAGCTGCCCGAAGCTCTTCTGTGGTTACAACTTAGAATGCTGCACACATTATCTTGACTAATATCACAAATCTACACTGGTTCAGTCAGCTCTCCCCTGTTTTTGTCAGACAATCAATATAAGAGATATTGATTCATTACAGTCGTTTTTATTATTGCAATAATTCATGTTCTCCACCTCACCTACAAATATTATCCAATCTTCACATTTGGATAAACCCCAAAATCTGTATATTCATAAATTCTTGAAGGCACCTCACTTGCAGTTTGAATTTGGATGAACTCTACTGAGCACTAACAGAAGAGTGATCCTGCAAAGGTTGACAGCACTTCACCTCTAGATGGCACCAACACTACATATTCATTTCAATGGACTTCTTGTAAAAAGCCCACATTTGCTTAACAATCATTTGGGTAGACTAAAAAGTAATTGTAATAATAAAAAAAAGTAATGTTATTATTTTGTAGTTTTGCCTATTACATGAATGTGTTCTTTTACACGTCGACTTAAATGTTGGCCCATATGTGTAACTGATAATGATGGCATCTCCCTGTTTGATTCCCTTTGGCGTTTGTTCAGAAGAATTCAATTCAAAACCACCCTAATTATTCAAACCTAACACTGTTTTCCCAAAGTGCTCCTCCAAGAAGTGAACCCCGATCAAAATATTTTACGAGTAATACATGGTATTCAGATTAAATGGAAAAAGTAGTTCTGTGCTGACCTGTACACGCCTACAGCCTCTTTAGATGTCCTTTCCAGATGCCGGAAGCGCATGGCCATTGGTAACTCCAAACTAGTAGCCCGCCTATGAGAAAAAAGACAATCATTTAAAAAAACATCCAAAAAAATGTCAAAGGTGTAACTTCAAGTGTTAATATATTTTCATGGAGGAAAGAAAACTGCAGCTAGATGAGTGACGCCTGACCTTGTAGACTTCAACAGAACCTCATCTTCCTCATCATCATAAGGCCCATTGTCAGGAAGCGTTCTATGCTGAGAAGCCAGGAAGTTGAAAATGTCAAATGTTGACTTCCTGTTGAGAGATAAGAGAAAATGATATCATGTTAAGATGAGTAAGGCTTCTTCAAAAAGTCAAATACTTTGCAATGCTTTACTACCTATACCAGGGGTCGGCAACCCCTGGCACACGTGCCACAATTGGCACGGGGCACCGTAACCAGTGGCACACTAGGAATAAGTGGAATAAGTGTGCAAAAATATTTAAATGTTATTTTCGGATCCTGAACGAGCCCGCCGCCAGAGCGCGTCTCCCCGTTACCTGCAGAAGGAAGCCATGCACGCAACGCAGCCCCGCTCTCTTTAACTCGAGGCGATTTCCCGCCCGCTTTCCTCGGTGGCGCAGTGCTTAGTACAATTCACGATCGTCGGCACACTGATCAAAACATTTATTTTTAATGGCACTTCATATCAAAAAGGTTGCCGACCCCTGACCTATACTTTTCCCATCTAAATGTAGGGAATATGATAAGTTAAAAGATTCAAAAAAGACAC